TAGGCCGAGGAGTCATAATTAATTCTGCCTCTCTCAGAGTCAGGCTTACTGTCAAGAACACAGGGAAAGGCTCCGGCAGAATAAATTACACAAGCGTCCTGTGCGTATGTGTATGTGTATGGGTGTGTGTTTGTGTGTGTCTGTGTGTGTGTGTTCCCCCCCCCCATCTAAGGGGGTAATGGGTTTGGAGCGCTTAGTAATTGTATTCTCTCAGAGCTGACAAAGAGTTATGTCAATTCTTTAGGAAGTGCTAGTGTTCTCAAAGTGTAAGTGAGCCCGCTAGCACTTTTTTCAGGTGTCCCACCATCTTAGATCAAATCACATTTCAGTCCAGGAGTTTATGTTGTCTGGCAGTGAGGAGCATCCACTGGGGAACGCTGTCAGTGACAAACGCGAAATTGAAGGATTCGCGGCGAATGGGCTCCTGCCAGGCAGGTTGTGCTACAGACGGCTACAGTCACAGGAGACCTCTGAACTGTCTGCGGCGCCGCTCTTCCATTACACTTTCATTCTTTTGAGTCACTGGCCTATTTTGGATCTTGTCTGGCCAGTGTTTTCTCCCATAAGGTTGTAATAGGATGAAATGAAGGATACCTTCAGGGAGTCATCTTCACCTGATTTTCTTCTCAGCCTGAAGACCTTGAGACAGAATTAAGGAAACTAATCTATTTTTTTTTTTGTCCTTGTTCAGTTACAACTAGATTTGCTATAAATCCCATAAGATAAATTCCTGGTTTAGCACCAATTCCTCTTAAACCTCTATTAAAATACAGTAAATGACTCCAATGACCTAACAGAAATCGTATCTGATATGACTACAGCCTCCTTCCTTTGTCCCTAAACAGTGGACAAACAGTGTTTTCACTGGATGTGGACACTGACAACTGGGGGGCAGAGAGCTTCATTCATCAAGCATTTCTCATAGTCGACCCCTCTTCCAGAGTCCAATACTAATCCCTCAAGCTGCAAATTCTCGGAGCTTTCTCGTTTTAGCCAAACACGCAACAACTGTCTTATTATCAGGAGACGACAGGCAATAATGAGTGCGGCCTGAGCCAAGCAACTGCAGCTTTGAGCTTTCAAAGAAAGAGCCTAATTAAAGGCTGCTTTGTGACTTTTGTCACTTTTTTTGACTGGTGATTATAGGCCATTCATTGGGGAGGATTCGTCAGCCATTTGTGGGTGGCGCACACCATAAATATCATCTAAGAGCTTTGCTTATGTTGTGCCGAACCTGCTCCCCCCCCCCAAGCCAAGTCCCAAGATTCTCTCACTCTAATTTGCAGAACAAATTCCTTTACTTTCTGCAGAATCTCCTCATGCTAATAAGGACGTTTCATCAACGGCAGTTCAGAGACAAACTAGGCTGTTTAAAAATGCAGACTCCTTGGTATCTTGTCTGTGATTTCCTGTAATTAAGTACTGGAGAGCGGAGCGTCCTTGGCACTGAGGACAAGTTCAGTAGAAAAAGCCCAGCGCTCTTTGGAGCAGATTTGACTAATGGCAGAGCTGTATCAGCCCTCCGCTGGTCTACAACATCTTCTAAATTGCCCCTCCACCACTACTAAAACCATACATCTCCAACAAGTGGCCTACTGTCGTATTTGGGCCAACTCTAATTGTCTCACTAATCTCTCCAGCGTTGAATGACCCAGAGAAACTGCGTCCCACAGGGCAGGCTTACCCCCACTGATTGGAGGCTCTGCTTTTTGTTTTGCTTGGCATATTAAAACAGCATAGGGCTGCTGATGGAAAGCCTACAAAACTATTGGAAATGTAATTAAGGGCTAGCAGCAGCTTTTAAACGGTTGACTAGTGCAGAAACAAACTGTGCCCCTCAGACAGCAAAAACTTTAATACATGGGAAATGAGTGGCTCAATCGATAAGCAGGGCGTTATTTCTTTTGTAGAGGGAAATTCAATGGAGGACAGAAATGGGCCGCCTCGCTGCCTGCAACTGTTTCTCATTTTCCTGGTGGAGAGGCAAATTTTATGGCAACATTTTGCTTCAGAAACAGACAAATACAGACCTCTCCGTAAGAAATAATGATTTGTCAAGTCAATTTCATCTGTCATTAAAACAAAAACAAATAGCTGCTGAAAAAACGTGCCAGCTGCAATTGAAACTGCAGTGTTTGGTCATGAGTCACAAAAGGGAAAGTAACACACAATCTCGCAAGCTCCTCAGGTGCTGAGGTGAGGCCAAGTTGAGAAATGCTCCAATCAAGCGCAATTATTTGCTGAAGCCAAACGCCACAGCCATTTCACATTGACGGTGAGCGGCCTATTGTCCCGACTCTGCCAGACAATCACATTCATAATAAACCCACCTCTAATTTGACACTTTTTTTTGTTTTTTGTTTTTTAAAAAGCCGACATCTTTCGTAAAGCGCTTTTACAAACAAGCCTCATGCCTGTGGAGCAATTATCAGAAACAGAGTCAGCAAGCCCCCACTGTGGCCTTTTGTCATCTGGCATGTCCTCTGGCATCAGCTGGCCGGCTGGGATCATTAGAAACATTTTCTCCTTGTGTTTTCTCCCACCAAAAACCTCTGGCTTTGTAGCCGGCACACAAGCGGGATTAGACAACACCTTTAGAAGCTAGTAGGAGTCCATCGCTGGCTCTCTGTCAGTGCAGTGAAGAAATACAACACCAAAGTCTATCAAACACTGCCTCGCTGCGCTGCCTCTGATAAATATTCATGATAGCAGCTTGAAAACCAGCTGTTTTCCTCCAATTAAAGCTTGTCGAGATCCACCGTTTTGGAAATAAATTGTTACTTTTTTTTAATTAACAGCTAATGTTGCTGGACCAGAAAACAAGTGAAACAATGCAGCATCCACTGCAACGATTTATATGTGTTGGATGGGACGAGAACATGTGGATAACAGCGTGAGGTCATGCTGCTGCTCTGAGCCCCTGATCTACGAACCCCCAGCGGTCTAAAGTAATGCAGATCACTCGGGGACAGGGATGGATATTATCCTATTAGAAGGATGTGAATGCTGCTGCGGTAACAGGTATTGAACATCAGCCCAAGAAGCTGTGTGGAGCAGATCAAATCAAGTCATCAAAAGATCCTTCTCACATCAAAGCCCTGAGCAGACCTGGCCACGTGCCTGCCATACCAACAGTGTGGAAACAAAAAGCGGAGAAGCCAAATCTGGCGCTGCACACGGACGGCCGCACGCTTCAAAAGGCAGCCATGGCCGTCTGAGGTCATTATTCGCAGGCACCCCACTAAACACCATCGGTCAGCGAAGGACAACAGAGAGAAACCACAGAGGACTTACCATCAGGAGGCTGCGCCGGTGTGAAGTGAGGAGGTTTGTCTGAAAGAGATAAAAAAAGAAGCAGAGAAATGGGTTTTTAGTTTGGGGGAGATTCAGAGGCTTCCCGGGGGTAAGGGCCGAGTAATTGAGTTGCTACAAAAAAGAAAAAAGAGACACATTCTGTCTACAGGTCTGGCTTTTTCTATCTAACACATTCTAATGCAGTGACCGGGGGCCCCAGAGGGACGCAGCCCAGCTAATCGGTGGGGCTACGTTTCAGCGATAGCAGTATCATCATTGTTTTGTCGTTCATTATTTCTCGGGTCTACTCATCCCAAACCGCACGGGGTGACTTCTGATGTTATGAGAGCACATGAGAACCGAGAACACAGGTGGAGGAGAGGTTTGCTTTTTGGTTTTGGATTAAAAAAAAAAAGACTGAGAGAGGATTTGACATTTCACAACAGCGCTGACATTCGGTACACCGATGAAAAACACTCAGCCCCCCCCCACCCCCCGTAACCATATGCAGAATAAATCACAACTCTTTTCCCTTAATATATCAAATCACATCATGCTGCTCTCCCAGTGAACACCCAGTAGACAATGATGTAAGGCATGTTGGTTTTGTGGGAACTGCATAACGAGACCTGCGGTGTCAAATGACAAGAAGGGGTGGAGCAACAGTCAGGGGGAAACATCTCATGCAACCTGAGTCCGCTGCAGGTTTGATAACTTGACGCTAGAAAAAAACTAGGTCAAACTTGACCAGGCAGTGAGAATGGATCAGTAACAGTTAATGTAATGGAGATGAACAAAAACAAGCAAAAAATGGAATTAAGGCTGCGACTAACATTTATTTTTATTGTTGATGAAATCTGATGTTGATGTTTTGATATGGTTGATTGTTTATGCTGAAAAAATGTCAAAACAATAGTGAGAAAGCAATTTCCCACAGCCTGAGGGGATGTCTTCAAATTATTTATATTGTCAGACAAACAATCTGAAACCTGAGATATTTAATCTACACTTTAAAGCAGAGAAAAGCAACAATTCTCACACGAGACACTGGAACTAGAAAAAAAAGCAATTGATTTCCTATTCAAAATGTGCAGATTAATTTATTTGTTAATTGGCTAATTGATTAAACAACTATTAATTAACTATTAATTTCATCCTCCCAGCCTGGTAATTGTGGAGCATACAGACATCACGGACATATGGTAGTGGAGGAATGAAGAGTGAACAGAAAACACATTCAGCCTGAATCTTCCTGAAACATATTTGGTGTTAACTGTTTCCTGTTTCTCACACAATAAAATCCTCATCAGCTCCGCGTGACTTTTTGTCATTTACCGGGGGAACGTCACCAAACGGACAGCCTCACACAAACAAGGTGCTGCGCCATCGTGACACACACTGGTCACAGTTTACCAGGGCACTGGAGTACCGAGCACAAAATCCAACCAAACCATCTGTACACTCGCAGTCAACTCGGCTGTCTGACTCACTAAGCAGAGCCTCGATGAGTTGTCAGAGCTGCCTGCAGCGAACAAACACACCAACACACACATTCAGGAAGGATGTGCAGCCACCCAGCCATCTCTCCGATGTCTCTTCACTGTGAGGGATAATGAGGAAGATAAAACACATCACATCAATTACTCCGCTAACACATTTTTCCGGGACCCTGTCAACCACTGCACCGAAGCCTTTCTCAGGACTTATGCGATACCCGTCGGCATCCCGAGACACTGAGTTTTAAATTCAGGCTCACTTAAAATTGCTTGTCAACAGCCGGGCTTTGTGGGAGAGAGAGAGAGAGAGGGAGAAAGTGTGTGTCTGTGAGAGAGAGAGCGAGAGAGAGAGAGAGAGAGAAAAGAGGAGAGGGGGGAGGCGAGGCTGGTGCTAGAGATGGGAGGAGGGGTGTTGGGGTTTAAGGTGGTTCAAGAAAACATTAAAAAACGAAGGGAACAGAGATTGGCATCAGGAAGATACAGAGGAAGTTCTGCTAAAAGTATAAAGGAGCAGACAGGCGCACACACAAAAAGAGACTGTACTTCCTGTCTTGACATTCGTGTGCATGTCTGAAAACACACAAACAAACATGAGCACATACAGACGTACTGTCGCACAAGGCAGGGAATACAAAGAGAGAGAATGTGGCGTTCAAAGTGAGCCGAGACGCCGAGAGGCGACGCTAAACGATTTCTTCACATTTCCATAACGAAAGGACAAGATAAGGTCTGTATATAAACATATCAGCCTTCCCATCTCCCTCTGCACCCGGAAAAGCCCGCGCGGGTTCCCGTGCCTGTGTGAATGTCACTACATGGCGCATCATTCACCCTATATCTTCAGCAAATCAATACCTGTCTGACTGTGACATTTAGCCATGTGCACAAAGAGGAGCGTGCGTGTGCGTCTTTGTGTGCGTGTTACCTTCCCCCTTTGGTTGGGGGGTGATGTATAGTTGTACAGAATGATAAAGTGAGTGCATGTCTGTGTGTGGGCTCCGCTGGCAGGTGGAAAGGTTTCAAGGGGGGGATGCGTTATAAACTGTGTGTGTGTGTATGTGTGTGTGTGTGTGTGTGTGTGTGTGTGTGTGTGTGTGTGTGTGTGGATAAGCTTCACCCCATATGGTGACAACAGAAATTGAGAATCTGAGGCTGCACAACTCTTCTAACACCCCTCCTCCCACCAAACACACACATCCACCCCACGTCACCACTACTAGCACTATCACTGTCGCATCCAGCTGTCCTTGCGGCCACACGGAGGGCTCTTGGCAGCGTAACAGAGTCCCTTTTACCTCATCAATTTCAGTGGGGCACATTTCTCTTCTCTCGGTCATCTGAGAGGTAGAAGATTGGCCTGCTTTAACCCAGTTTGTATTAAATCTAATAGAATCTGTCTGGCAGAAATTGATTCAGTAACACCGGGAGGTTACAAATGAACCGTCCTCCTCCTCCTGGTCACCCACATCCACCAATTACAACGAGAATGAAAGACTGACAAACGGGACGGAAAGACACAGAGCTGGAAAAGAAGTGGACACTCTGGGAAATGCAAAGGAGGGCATCTAATGCAGTGGCAGCCACACGGACACAGGGACTCTGCCTCGCACAAGTAAACAGCCTGATAACAGACGAAGAGAAAAAGTGCTGACATGGAAGAACAACCATGGCTGAAGAGTATTAACAGAGTCTCTCCCTTTAAAGTGTTGCTCAAATACCACTTCAGCTTGAATGTGGCAGCACGAAAACAACTGTTAACACGGTGCCGATTTAACTTATTTACTTACTCTTTACAATTTGCAAGTGATTATGCGGCATGAGCCTTGCATAAATAATAGGCCACTTTGGTGAGTTGAGACTAATTTCACCTTTAACACAGTCTAAACTGACAAGGCACTCAGAAATAAGACTCATCTGAGTCTGTGAGAGAATGAGGAGGCTGCGAGAGTCAGCGTTCACACAAGCTGGTAAATACAGGGTAGAGGGGAGCACCGAGGTTGTGTGCAGGTGACTGGCGAATATCTATTTCAGTTGTGGTTTTGAAGGCAAACAGTTGGCCCTTTAAAGCTCAAGCTGTCAGGTGTGAGGCTGGGAGTCAGATCGCAGTGCTTTTTTAGGCACCATTTGAAATGTGTCCCTGGAATTGAGCATCAAAAACTGTCAAGGATCAAAAGTTGAATTCTTTGCTCCGGTGCTGAGAAGTTGGAACTCGGGTATTGCGCTGGCACCAGTCTACATTTTCAAATGACAACAACGATGGGCTCAATGACTTACTAAAGGAATTACCTCTCTTGTCAGAGATTCTCTCAGGAAAACTCTTTGACTGCCTCGCAAACATTACGCCTCTGCCTCTTAATGGGCCACTGTACTTTCAAAAGACAGTGGGACAAGAATTATGCAGCGGGAGCAGATGACAGGAGGGGTTGAGGCTTTCCAGGCCAAAAGACATTTTCTCATCCTCCAAAGGCATTTAATCACCATTTAATACTTCATCCCGCAGTTCAAAGTAAATGCCAAGGCTTCGGAGAGGAGATATGAAGCAGTTTTGAAAGCCTGCAGACACACAATCAAGCAAGGGGGGGGGGGGTTGTGACTTTAGCTGTCTTGATGTCCCTACTCAAGTGCAGATAAGGCTGTTATGAGAGGTCAGGTGAGCTCATTTCTACAAGGGCACGTAATGCAAAAGCTACATGTAGTATGTTCAATGCAAAACCATTTCTCTCCAGATATATTCTGACTAAACGGCGGCGGCTTGTGCTGAGAATTGTACTGACAAACAGTGACCCGTACATGAAAATGCAGTAGAGACCAATACAGTAGAGTACAACAGCTAAGTTGGGTGTTTCATTTGAACCAACGTACAGTTGTTGAGGAACAGGAGCACAGCGAAGCCCAGGGTCGATGTGGCCAGCAGGATCAGACAGATGTTACAAGGGATCATGAAGTAGCGAACCACCAAGGACACCTTGTGCTGGTACCTGCGGTCCCGCTCCGGCGGCGGCGGCGAGGGATAGTGGCACCCGCTCATGCTCCACTCCAATGACCCCCTCCCCTCCAGGGTGGAGGAGATGATGGGACGAGGAGGGCGACGAGGGGTGCCCAAAGACCCGTTGGAAAAAATGATGGCGGTGGGAGAAGGGCAGAGGATGAAGATGAGGAAAAAATAAAAAGCAAAAGAAGATCCGTAATGGTCGGTGTTTCAGCTGTGGTTCCAGCTGTGCACCGTGGCAGGCACCCGGTGACTGTTCCTGACAGAGAATCGCAGCAGCAAGCTTTCAGCAGTTTCCAAGTAACACATTTTTAGAGATAATAACATCCATTTGGGGAAAGAGGACAGACGGGGGGACAGAGATGTTGAACTCCTACAGCCCCCCACCTGTCCACGCAACCTCCATTCTGCTGTGCCCACTGGGAAAAAGACAAACTAATGGGCTTTCAATGTGTGAGTATGTGTGTGTGTGTGTGTGTGTGTGTGTGTGTGTGTGTGTGTAGTGGTTTATACTTACAGTGCAAATATGTGTGTGGATTTAAGTGGGTGGTTGT